CCCAACTACCTCACTGACCAAGTTCTATATCAAAAGTTTCTGCTGTTAATAGTTTATTTACTTCAAGTCAAGTAATAACACAAAACACACTCCCCTCAAAATGTAAGCTTCCTGAGCAGAAGTGAAAAATTCCAATAATCCACTAAAAAACCCTAATAAGAATCAAAAGAAACCAGAAAAGCATCAACTTTCCAGTTTTCGTCTATGAATCATATTATTGAATCGCAAAATTCCAGATATTGATCAATATGCCACTCAGTCTTCTCCTAATGCCTGTTACAGTACTCCCAACTTCCTACGGATAAACACCAACACAACAACTTTAAACTCCTAACAATGGGCAATGATCCTCTACAATAATTTGGCTCCTTTTAGTTCTTAATGTAGCCACCTAAAGATGGATTTTAACACATAGTTCAAGCTATTAACAATTTACGATACAGCACGGCATAACCCCCATGTCCTCAAAGTATAACTGAGGTCTAGTACAAATAGAACCTAACAGCTACAAAACCAAGCTGTCTAGCGATGACATAGGAAACAGTTTGCAAAGACTGTATAAGCTTTTTACTAAAAAGTGCTACTTCGTACAAAAAACAGTTGACAAACGAAAAAAATGAACAACAGTTAAAAAAATAATAGTGTCTATGTCACAATAATTCGTAAAATACACCCAGTCAAAAAACAAAACATAATTCGATCATCCAATAAAAAAAATGATAAAAAAACAACTTACTTACTATGTTAAACACTGAAAACCAAAGAGTAAAAGGATAATAAACTACTTTATTGGCTAAAAGAAAGCGATAAAAACAAAATCTTTCGATAAAATCTGAAAACGTTCGCTTCATAACCTAAGCACAAAAACTTCTCATTTAAAACAATTAATGAAGAAATTCTCAATTACAACAACAAAAAATCACAACATTGAAGTTTATTTATTTTTTCCTTTTGACCATTTTTTTGCCCAATTTTCTTGGTTTTATCTTGCTTTGGAAATACTGCTGACGATGAATAGTCGACTTATGAGTTGACTTTTTCGATTTGCGCTGATTTTTGGTTGAACTGTCTCTAAAAATGACACTTTGAAAAAAAAAAAATGGAAATTGGAAATTTGAAACGCTAAAGCATACCCCTCAGAAACTTCTATGGATCGCTGACTAGCTGCTAATTGGCCTTCATTCACCAATGGCTTCTTAGAAATAACCTGGTCCAAAACTTCCTTGTATCTTTCAGTTTCATTAACAATGCCGGCTTCATTTGGCTCAAACTTAAAATGATTAGTTATCTTAGAAGAGAGTTGAGTAAAACTATTCTATTTTTTTTACAGAACTTAGAAAACAAAAAGTAAGACCCAACCAATAATAACCTTTCTTTTGATTCCCTTATTTTTAGGAACCTTTTCATTTTTAATCGCAGGCTGAAACTTCCCGACTGAGGCAGTTGAGACTCGCGCTCTACTCATTTGATTAACTAACTGAAAAAAAAAAAAGCGTGAAGAGCTGGTAAAGACAAAACTTCAAATGGTAGTTAAAACAATGCGATACATCACCAACCTCATGCCTAGTCCTGTCTTTTAAATCTTTGCTCACTCCAAGTGGAATTGAAGCATCAAGCATATTTTCGTCTGTTCGCCTTGTTTGACGTTTAATATTCCTTAATCTTTGTAACTCGTTCTTGTGCACCCTTTCTTTTTTTAATTCCTCTCGCTCACCAAAGTAGTCAATCATAGGATCTAAGGAAACAGATAATATAAGCCATCACACAAAAAACTAACAGAAGTACACAAAACCAGCTGCCGTTTCAGTCAAATAAAGAAAGATACTACTTCCTTGAAGTAAGAACCAGAACAAATCAGTGGAGACAAAATAGAAAAAAATTTTAATTCAGATAACTTCTTTACCTTTGTTGTCAGGGATTTCAATTACCCAATTATCATCATCATTGTTGCCCCGATTATAGCCGTATGTTGGTTTCCACTCCTAAAATTAAAACTGTATAACTCAAAGAAATTCCGTCTCAAAATATTTAAGAACGTTACATCAAATTACCTTAGCAACTTTATCATAAACTTTCGAGCTTTTCTTTTTCTTTTTTATTCCTTTTGCCTGAGCATATAATTCCCACCTCGTAGGCTCTTTCTTCTTAGGGATCACCTTTTCACGCGGCAATCGAAATACAACTGGAGGCATCTGAAAATTTACCGCTAAATTAATATCTCAAATATAAAACAGTCATCAGAATCAAACAAAATAAAAAAAACTAATGAATCGTGACTTGTTCCTGAAAATGAGTGTATCAGAAAAATCAAAGATATTTGGACGCTAAGATCATTCAGTGGTTGTTATAGATAACTCGAATGAATTTTTTATGTGCAAATGATAAAGCCCAGCTAAAAATAAAACCTTAGACAAAAACTAAAGTTTCTATATTCAAGGAGATCTCCAAAATAAAAAAGATCAAAGCCTGAAAAAGGTTTAATTTATCTGCTCTCTTTCATCACATTTCGAAAATGAAGAATTCAATTGATTTTCTGAGTGAAAATTTTTGCAGTTCCATTAAACGCAATTCATTCTCAACTTACTATAATTAGGTGAGAAAAAGTAGAGGCTGAAAAATAAATAAAGATCCGTAATTAACAATTAAGATTTAGTAACAAAGAAAATTTAAAATATTACCTACCAACTGTTCAGTACCAACAGTCAAAAATCCTACCTTACATGTTTAACAAAAAATCCAAAAAAGCAAGTCCCACTGAAATCTTGCAGAGACAAATTCTGAAAACAAGAAAACGTTTGGTCGGACCTACTAGTATGTAAGTCTCTTCAAGACGTATTTACCTTCATTAATTATCCCCATAAAGTTTGTTAAATCTTGTTTACAATTAACTTTATTATAGTTTGGTCATCTTTTACCTCACTTGCAGAAAATTCTAATAACGCACCTCCAGCAATGTACCAAGTACACTCTAAAATTGCAAGACTAGCTTGAATAAGTAAAAGCCATTGATAAAGCAGGTAACGTTCAGTGATGTGAAATGCAAATTATGTATATTGAAACGACGATTTGAATAAAAACAACTTCAGCTAAATAGGTACCCTTAATGGAAAACCACAGAAGACGTAATAACAGACATTTTCCCTCTAATAACACTCTCAACTGATACTATTAAATCCAAATAACAAACATCGTAAATGCTAAAATATGCCACTTTTTAAGAACTATTTTCATTTGAAAAAAAAAAAAAGAAAGACAGAATGTGTTTGAGTAAAAAACGTCAAAACTGAAAGACAGCACCTCGACAACAAAAAATTTCTTCCGTAATCAATATACCGCATAAAAATAGAAAATCCTATATTGCTGATCAACTAGGCATTTTGAATTCCTTACAATTCATTAGCTGAATAAAATGAGTGAGAAGTGGTTTAAAAAATGCGTAAAGAACAGAAGAATTACAAGAAAAGTAAGTCAAAGAAATTACTATCTAATGAAAAAAATGACTAGTAATTTTCAAACAAGTAGTTTTCAATAGTGCAAAGAACCTATTTCAAAATACAAAAGGAAAAACTTCAATCACAAACCGTATGTACTATAATTGGAAGCCATTTAAAACCTAATTCTGATACATCTTCCATATGCTGGGGAAGTAAGGTAATTGAACAAACACACTTTATCAAGAATTCAATCAAAAAAGTTCACTGTCGTGAAACTGTTGTTAATCATGTGGTGGTATAGCAGTACTTGAACCTATGTTTTTCGTAAGAACGCAAACTCTTGGTTTAATTTACTTGCTGAATTTCCAAAAGTAAAGGTGGCAAAAGCAATGAAGTAAAAATTATGGAATCCTCCGGCAATTTGAAAGACCGTAATTCGGGTTATAAAAACAACTTATGTGGTTTCCTCTTGAGTCGTAAGATCAAAAATATGATATTTGTCAAAAGTTTCTAAATCGACTTTATTTCATTACCTTCACAACAACAGCATCCTCCACTACTTTACGATCGAGTTCCCAAATGTTATTGAACAAATACTGCACATTGTCTCGCGTTCTAGCTAAGATTTCTTCTTCACGCTCCAAGCTACAATTGTTGTTGTTTGAGGGATGTATTACGCATGATTAGAATGTAACTGACTTTAAACTAGCTTTTGTAATAAAAAAATTTTTTCATTTATAAAAACCATAACTCTCTGATTTTATGGGCAAAAAAAACTATGCTTTAACGCTATAAAAACTTTTTCCCAGGGCAAGAAGGTGACAGAGACATTTAAAAACAACTCTTTTTCAAAAAATGAAAACACATGTCCCAGACTACTCTTATCGGATAGCCCTTCAAAAACGTGTAGGCATTTTACCATTACCACTTTCTTTTTTCAGGTTTCAAGATGCCAAAATTAGTTTGTATCAAGCTGAAGGGCGATGAAGGAATACTCAGTACCCCTCTTCTTGAGTAGTAAATGCCTTTAAAGAAGTAGACAGTTTAGCTTTACTTCATTAAATTGAAAAACGTAGCCGACACTTTTTGCCGCAAAACTAACCCAGATAAAATAACAGAAGATAACAAAAGTTCTTCAGAAAACGACTAAAGTATTCTTGTAAAGTCTTTACCTTTGCTGGCTGGTGCATTCCAAAGGATCGTTGTCTATAAGCAACAAATTTCCAACATCAACTAATGGATGAACAATTTTTTGTACTGCCGTTGATAAATAAACCTTCTCCATTTTCTACTCTTACCTCAAAATACAAAATACAGATCTAAATAATAATAAAAAAAACTAAGCGATCTTAAAAATGGCTCTATGACGAACAGTAAAGGCATAAAATGAAGTCACTAAAAAACCAAGAAACTGGTACGTAGTTCAAAAACCATAACGCTAATATATCTTAGACGTTGTAAAAAAAATAAAATTCATTGAACCCATTTTTTAAGTTGTCTCAAGCTCCTTGTACATGAAGAAGTACTGTTGCTTATGATGCTATGCCATTTAATTATTCAAAAAAATTCAAATAGTCTTTATATGTTTTAAAAATTCTATTATGACTGTGTCAAAAATGCGAACAGTGTTGCATAATCGTAATGAAAATTTAAGGTTTTTACAGCCTCAGACCATAAGCATCCAAATATTGTCGCCTGCAAGTTCAATCATTCGATTAATTTTAAAAAACCCAGTATTTTAAACAAACCAACAATGAGTCACTAACAGAATTTAAAAGAAAAAAGTATAAAACTAGCTACCAATAAGGTTCCCTTCAGCTTATATGTTGATTATAACAATCCTTTTATACTCAACTTTAAAGACAAAGCTTTCCATGTCACAGAACTTTCACTGCAACAAAATATGTGCTAATTCATCTGATAAACATGTTTTCTCCATTAACATTCCATTTCAAAGACGGCAATGCGCTTTACCGTATTCAGAAAAATTCTTTTCAGCACAAAATTTTATTACAAAAAAAAAAAAAAAAAAAACTGCTACTAGAAAAATTAGATTAAGTTCTAATTCATTTGATTCCTAAAATTAACTGCTCAATTTTGTTCGCGTCCACACGTAACCAACATCACGGCGACCACTCGTCTAGCAATTTGCATTAGTTCTTTGCATATTTTACAACGTTAAAAAATTCCTACATTTTGATTATTGTATTTTCATTAAAAAAAAATCCTGAAACTATTCCTGAACAAATATGATGTTTAATGAATGCATTAAACAGTGCAGTAGCAAGATATCTCAGATTTTATAAAACTGTACCAGCAAAAAAAAAAAAATAATAATAATGATAAAGAAAGGATTAAATATAAATTGTCGTCAGCTGTATAAAATCATCAGTAACACAAAATGAATCAAATCCGGTTTTAACAGATACCAAATAAATACCAAATGCCTCTACCACTGTCGCCCTAAAAATGTTCAACGCAAAGACAAAGTAAGTTTTGAGAATGCATCAGACAGATCTGATCCTAAAAAGTTTCCAATTGGTCATTAGGAAAAACCTCTCCTCGTTTGTTGGAAGTCCGCCAACAAGACTTTTTAGTAACGAACTTTGTCTACTTTAGCTGTTGATCTCTTGCCGAATTTTTCACTTGGTTCTGTTTTAGACCACAGTGGCACAATTACTAACGTTGGCACTTTCGTTTCGTGGGAATGCCTAAAACCAGCGTAATATCAACGTTGCTGGAAAGAACTAAACTGATTTTTGCGAGAGCCGGTGTAGTTGCTGTGTCCGTTCATTTTGCCACATTCTTATCTGTTTCTAATTCCATCTATTGAATTGATACGTGTTTCAGTTAACGTATATAAATATATGTAACTCTTCGGTATGTGTATCTAGCGGTACTGGGCTGAAAGGGCTATAAACCCTAATAGTAGCTTTATGAAAAATGCTCAATTTTTAGGGGTATGTATGAAGTTCAGTGCGTTTTTTTTTTCAGGATTTTGTTGTTTTTGCTGGAATTCTTAGTACTGATTCGATTACGCAGGGTATTGTGAACTCACCTATTAGAACATGCTCTTTTTTACGAACTGAAAAATAAAAGAACACAATCTCTTAACACTGATGTGGCTTAAGCGCTTACTGCACCAGTTCACTATGTTTTTATCGCACCAGATTTGTATCGGAAAAGAAGAGAAAGTTAAACAAATAAGCAATGTTTTCATAATTATTTTATCGTACTTTTGCCCAAATAATTTCACGTTTTAGCGCTTTTTTCTGTTCGCTTAAAAAATTTTTACAATTAGTCGCTTCATTCTCTAGTATTTTTTTTATATTTCAGTGAATATGGCTGGTACTGATGACGAGCCAGGTACTTCAAAGCCGGAAAAACCGCAGCTTTTTACTACCAACGTCTCATCACTTTTTGCCCTTAAGGCTGAACTTTATAGGAAAAAGCAGGAAAGTCGCTTAAAAAGTGCTACTGCTGTAAAACCGAAAAAGGTTTAGTTTTTTTTGTTGTTGTCACCAAATAACTTTTTATTTTTGCAAAATATTATACTTTATCTAGGCTTTATAGGTAATAGAAAACTGTTTGAAAGTTGTACGTAAAGTGGATATGTCTGTAACAAGGGAGCGCATTATTTTAAATGTTTTAGAATGGACTGCTTTTAAGTAAGGAGGAAGAAAGAAAGCGTTTGGAACTTAGCAAAAAGAGACAAGAAAAAATTGCTAGGTTGGAAAGAGAAATCAAAGAGGAAGAAGAGGCAGAAAGAAGAAGAAAGAAAATTCTTGAAGAAAAGACTGAGGCTTATCAGCGCATGAGTAATGGTCAGCTTCTTGCAACTGGTAATTTTTTTATTCCAGGTTTATTGTTTAGATATTGTCCAGTAACCTTTATTATTTTAATTGGCAGTTTTATCAATGGATAAGACGAAAGGACATTTTATGTCAACTTTTTTAAAACTGACTTGTTAATTTTTTAGTGCTCGAGGAACATAGCTGAAAAATCATTATTAATTACATTTTTTCGCACTTATTCGTTTATTTTTTTGTTTCCAGAAGATGGAGAGCCGGTTGAGTTTTTGGTTGACTTCGGTGCGAAACAAAGACAAGAAGAAGAGAAGAGACTGGCTGAAATGGAACAGGAAAGAGCAGATGCTGAGAAAAATGAATATGTTCACTTTGTTCCTAATGAGGGTACTTTCTCTTACAATCTTTTTTACGTTATATTTTCTTTAACACGTTTTCTGGTTCTTCGATAAGGTCGTTCTGTCTAAAAGTATTGTCTCCTCTTATTCTATGTTTTGTAGCTAGTTAGAGTTGCATGAGACTTTCTTCTATAAATCAAAAAATTTATTTCTTCGTTTACTTTTTAAAAAAATAAAAAAATTCTAGTGCAGGATTGGTGGGAAATATGAGTGCTTTTTTTTAAAGTTGCAGGAACTGGTCCTTAGGTTTAGCTTACTGCTGAACGACTGCTTTTTAGTCGGAAAGAAGGAGATTTCCAGTTTATTTAGATGATTATCAAAAAGTGACACAGAAACATATTTTTATTACAGAACAAAGAGTGTACGGTGTTTCTCACGTTACCTTTTCCCAGAGCGAAACAAAACGACGAGAGCAGATAAAGCAGTTGCTGGACTTGACAAAGGTATGCATAGTGTAATTCATAGTGTAACAAATCTGCAGCTGAATAACAGTGAAATCTGTATTTTTTGGAATTTTACTTGTTTTATTAATTTTACACCATCTCTGGTGATTTTTAATTCTTTTACACTTTTTGAACAGTTTCAGTTTTGATGCTGGTTTCTTTGAAGCTTGATAACGCCGACATTTTAGAAAACCGATATGGAACGCCAGAAACAAAAAGAAGTACTTCAGAAGAGAGAGGCCGAAAAATTAGAGCGATTGAATCGGATTCGAAAAAGAAAAGGGTTACCAGAAATTGTTCCAGAGCCTGAAACAGGTATAGCTTTATATGCTTTTAAATTTGGCTTGAAACGAGTGCTGATCGATTCATTGGTAATTTTGAAACGGTTTACAAAGTGATTCCTAAACAACTCCATAGGAGCTTAGAAGAAAGTTACTTTTTAAGAGACAAATTTAACTCGTAAAATACTGCAGAATCAACATTTTTGAAGCTGTCTGCTTTCTCTTATTGTCAAAATTAATTAATTCTCTTAAATATTTCATATTGTATTTATTGACGAATTAATTATTGGGAATTTTTAAGAAGAGCAAGTGGAGTATCTAGATATCCCATTGCCGTCAGGGTCACCGGAAAGTTGGGAACAGAAAAAACGAAAATTGGGAGTAAGAGAATGGGATCGAGGGAAAGGTACATATTTTAAATGTTGGTAACCGCATTACCAATTTTATATTGTAGTAGCCGCCATTGTAAATTTCATCAGTCATTCCAACGGAATCAAAAAAGTTTTTTACAGTTGGTTACATGCGTTGGATAGAAGCACAGCGAGAGGAAAGGAACGAAGAATTCCAACCTCCTTCAAGTTATTATAAGTAATGTTTGGGGAAACATTTTTGTCATTACATCAGAAAAGCAAGAAGGCGGCGATAAATCAAGTGATTCAAATAGTCGCGGAGGATAAGCTGAGAAATTTCTTTATGTTTTCCAAGTTCCAGCCTTTATGGGAAAACCAGAACGTGGTTATTGATTTCTGTTCGTCCAACTGTATTTTTTGCTGTATAAACTTGTTAGGGGACTTTAGCAGAGTGCTAATTAACTGTTCAGGACGAGTTTTTCGTCTAGTCTTTTTCTTTTTGTACAGAATGTTTTGGGCCACGAAAAATTTTCCAGATTCTGGATTGGAGCGCTTTTTAGTAATCTTTTATAAATGATTTTTCTCGCCGATCTTTTCATTTTATTATTCAGTTCAAAAAACGTTGTAAATTTCTATTGTGGTTTGTACTTTAAAAATGTATTATAAATTAAATTCTGGCGCTTCCGTAGTATCTTATTAGGGAATTCTACTAAAATATATTGTTATTGAACTTGCTCCGTGACATTGTCATTTTTTTTTCATTGTCATTTTTAAGAGTTTTTTGATTTTTTTTCAGTTCATTCTGAGTTCTACTGAAAGCGGATTGCTTTCAAATGAATTTAAAATTGTTTAGCTCTGTACATTAATTGCATAGTTGTGATCTCTCATGGTGGGTTATATTGTTCAAGTCTTAAAATTTTTATAGCTCAGTGGAATGCAGTTTGAGGAACGCTTCTCGGAAAGAATTTTTACTGATCAAATCAAGTATATACTCTGAATAATAAAATTGTTTTTTTTTTTCGAGATTGCTCACCACTACAACTCGCTATATTGCGTCGTATATGTAGCCCACTGCTATTAGGCCTGGCAGTAATTTCTAGCGCACTTTCCAGACTAACTGACTTTTTGAAACTAACTTCATGACAATTAAATTTTTTTATCTGTCGTATATTTCCCACCTCCATTTCACACATTCTTTAAAAAGCAGTTTTAGTCCCTGTTACTGACTGAATCCAGCCGGGACGGTAATGCAGAAAGGAAAAGGTCAGATGAAGCCAAAATGCACCTGTATTCTTAAATGTCATTGCGTAGTCGGATGCCCTGTTAGCAATTAAGACAATTCATTTAAAAGAAGCAAGTTTTGTTTTGTGAATACAAATCTTGCTTTTTTGGATGAATTGCTTTTATTGCTAACAGGGCATTCTACTGTGAAAAAAAACATGTAAAAACATTGATGTATTTTGGTTTGAAAAGCTTTGCTGGCAGGAACAGACACCATCAAACTGCACCGAGGATGAATTAACTATGAGGTTGTTTAGAGTGGGCCTGAAGGTACCTGGAGAATCCAGTCTAAGACGGCCAGGAGAAGGCAGTAATTTAGAAAGAAGTAAATAATCAAGGAAGAAAAACCTGAAGATTTCCACTGTTTTGGTTGTCTATTTCAAGTTATAAAAAACGGCGCAAAACAGATATCAGCGGAATCGTAGCTGTCTTACTGGAAGGAGAACCACCACTACGCAGTTGAAAACGCTTAAAAACCAGCGGTCGGCGTTGAATGATAAGGAGAGCTGGAAGACGGACAGATTTAACCGATGAATTTTACGGCTACAATTTTCCAATTCCCGAACAGCGGAAAACGAACTGCTGTGTCGCTACGCACACCTACAGTGATCTCGGGCGGACTCGAACCGCCGACCTTCTGTGTGTTAGACAGATGTGATAACCTCTACACCACGAGATCCTGTACCAATACTGTCTTTGATTATCTAAAGGTGCTAGTAAAAAGATTCTTAAAGTGTTATAGATTCTTAAATATTAATATGAAGCTTCGCCAAAAATGATGTCACAGCTGCCTCCCGAGCGGATTCTTAGAAAACTTTTGAATTCGTTGTTATTCTCAATACTACAACTTTTTGGTTTTAAAATTTTGTGCCCTTTATTGTGCTGTGTTTTTTCAAATGTTAGTTCTTGCTTCTTCTAAAAAAGGTTTATTTTTTTATTTTAAAACTTGTCTATGGGTTTAAAAGCACTGTGAAGATGTAAGATTTTAAAATGTAAGAAGTGCAGATATGGCTATCGCAACAGGCAGTGTATTGACTATCAGTTGAAAATTCACTTTCTGGAAAGCTCCAAAACTTATTATGCCAGTTTGATCTGACACATTTTGCTGGCGAAAATTCGCCTTTTTTTTAGATGTGTCCGAGAAAAAGTGGGATTTTTGATTCAATTTACGCTCATAGACTGAAATTTTTAATTCTCTGGACTATTAATGTTGAACTGTCTAGAGCGGCTGTTATTGTTGTTTTCGGTGCTGTTACATGAAACGAACGAAATAATCGTTTACTTAACAAGACTAAACAAAAAATAAATAAAGAAAGAAACAACAATAACAAAAAACAATTATGAAGCTAACAAAAAACAAGGAGTTTCTAAACACGAGGAAAATAATGGTGAAAAAAAGAGATTCATTAGGGCATTTACGAGTTGACAGGTACTCTTAGATCAATTCATTTTCATTTATTGAGGCGGTAGTACGAGAGGCATCACTTTTTTCTCCTTTTCTCTTCTAAAAATGAAACTATTCCTCTTAACTCTAATTCGTTCCTTTCTTTATGGTCGGTAGATTTGAAAATCTTCTAAATTAGTCCTAACAGGTAGCTTAAGTAAGAATCTTTTTTAATTGTACTGAGAGTTCGTTTATCGCCTTTTGTTTTAGACTTCTGCCCTCGTTGTTTGGCATCTGCCTAAAATGTTTGGAATGTATTTTGTAGGTTATTGATGCCATTATACGAAAAGCTTATGTATTTCACCAAATAACAAGCTAACTAAAACTGTGGACTTCTAATTCAGTAGGCAGTAATAGTTAACAGTACTGTTAGAAAACTGGCTATAACTTAAGAACTAAGATGCAGAAGTCTAAAAATAACTTGCCAAAAATGGTAGTAAAGTGTCCTTGAATATTTCACCATCATCATAAACAATTTCAGCAGTTTTATTTTCTGGATAATAAAAAACGGTGCCATTTTTTTTCAACTCTCGTACTGATTGCCCATCAGGTTTTTCTTTTGTTTTCAAATACACCAAAGTTTGATTGTCTTTTTCCTGAAATTCATTCGGTAATAATGGCTTCGACCGAGTAAAGAAATCAAGTAAACGATGATACACATTCTACCTGCATCGTTACACTTGTGTTTGCCAAGCTAGCATCACTGGAGATAAACGGATGGCGATCTCTGTATCTGAGCGCCATAGTCCGGTATCGCATACAGCAAGTATCCTCTGAGCACTGAACATATCCTGGTGGGCAGTAACACAAATCTGCCGTTGGGCAATGAATCATAAGTGGTGGACTATTGGTACAAGATGGACTGCAGTGAGGCATACAAGCTAAACAGTTTGAAGTGTCCATATAATACAGAACAATTTTATTTAAGCTGGTTTCCAAGTTAGAGATCAGTATTGACCTAGAAAACTACTTATAATCAAAAACTGAACCTGGGCGACACGTTGGTGGGATATCCATAAGACATTCATCTGTACATAATGGCATACAAGCTGGATGACACAGTGGAATCGGTGATGTTTCGCTAGTTGGGTAGTTTACTTCCTGCATTGAACAAAACATATTTGTTTATGGTTACTGTAACGCTATGGAAGGCTGGAAAAGATTACTAGGAGAAAACGGAGAAAAGTAGAGAAGTCTGAATTTTCACAAAGTATTTTTAGTATTTTATATTCATTATGCCGGAAGATTCTCAATTTAAAAATCTTTCTAGACAACTACTGAACTACAAGTAATTCAGTACTGTAACCAACTGTCTGGCCAGAAGGTGAAGAAAAAAAAGACCAACCTGTGAGTAACGGTTTATCAACCCGATGGTGCCTAACGGGTTTGAAGCTTGTAAAAGACATCGAGATGTGCAGTACGGCATGCAAACTGATACGCATCGTTTTGGTTTAAATCTTCGCCGTTCGAAAGCATATGTGCGGAGATTCGCAGGTGCTGTCCAACGCCGAGTCTCAGAGCAGCTTGAAAAGCGAAGTCTTATAACCATGAATTTAACGGCTTTTTGCACATTCTTGAAGCTAGTTCCTGAAGATCACCATAATACATCAACTCACCATCGAAACCCGCACCATCCCCCAGAGCCGCATGTTATCATTTTTCGAATGTAGCTTAAAGTTTCTTCAATTGCCTTCCGATCGAGAATGCTGGTCAACAGCTCTTCTACTTCACTACGTCTACGCTGTACTCCAAAGCGCCTTTTCGGGTTGGTCACAATACCGTATTCATCATAGTCACCTTCTCGTTCGATAGCTTCAGATTCATAACCAGAGTCGGTTTCATCTGGTCTTATTCTCACTTTGAATGCCGTTGGATCTTGGCCTGACTGTCGTAAAAGCTCCTGATAAAAACGCTTTAAAAAGAAAAAAAAAA